TTGACATTTCCTGTTTAAATACCATAAATTGCTAAAAAAAATTTATACAGTTAAATCTGTACATAATCAAGATCCTTTTTCAACAAATAGAAATTTTATTATTGTCTATATTCGCTATAAGAATTTTTCTACTGAATTCGTGTACTTCAAACCTGCGCAATAACAGGGTGCGTAGCGTTTTTAAGAAGTACTTAAAGGCGCTTATTCTTGATTTACGTTTTTTAAAAGCCCTTAAAGGTGCTTTTTTTATTTGGTGTTTGTAAAAAGTGCTTAATTTTTTATCTTTTAAAAAGAGACTTTCTCTTTGCCGTATCCATTGTCGTTCTAAATTACAAAAACAATTACAACTAAATTACAAATTACATTTTTATAATTTTCTCTGCAATATTTATCAGAAACTAGTTATTTTATCATGATTATGTAAAGTTTTTGAAAATGTTTTTGAATTTCATTGATTTTTATGTTTATAAATTAAGAACTTAAAACGATAGAAAAAAATAATTCTTGTTACTGCACAGATTCTAGTTATGATTTTTTTTTTTTGGAAAGTGATTACAAATATTTTTAAGTGCTTAGAAAGTACTTAAAAGGTGCTTATTTTTTGATGAAAAATCTGGCTACGCACTCTAAATAAACCAAGCTTGGTAATGTAAATTTTTGTTTAAATTATATATTCAGGATTGTCTTTTTACTTTATCTTTTATCTAAAAATTTCATAAAAGATATTTAATTATTTAAACAACTAAAAAAATAGAAAAACTGTTTTTAGAAATACCATTACGTTGTTCTAAATACATTAAACCTAATATTAAAATACATAAATGGGCCCAAAATCTTCATATAATATTACTCTAATTAGACAATTTGAAATGCATGAGAAATAAATATCATTGGAAATGGCTAAAAATTTAGAGCTTTTAAAAAAAAATTGTCCCAGACTTTATTTTAAAGTTAAAACTAAAATCTTTTAAATTAATAGCTTTAGCATAATAGTAACAGCAGTTACTTAGCTGTTTTAAATTAACAGTTATCTAAACTAACTATATTTTTTGTCTTTAGCAAAAGTTTAAAGATAGTGATGAATTTCTGAAATTTTAGGCATTTAAATCGTTTGATCAAATATTTAGACTCTTTCATTAAAATTTTTCAAAAGGTGTGCTAAAAGCACGTGGCATTTATGTGACTTGGGGTCTTTTAAAATAATTAAGTCAAATGTTAATATTTTATTAAATATGTTTGCAGCCTATATTAATTTTCTTTCCATTCTATGAAATTGAAAGAATAGTTAAACATTATTTTATTTCAAATGAGTTTCTACTTTAAGATTGTTTTCTAAATACTTTAAGCAAATTTCAGCAAAGCTTCAGGTTTTTACGAGTTTTTATCAAATTTCTAAAGTATAACAAGTTTTTTGGGGAAAGTTTCCCGAATTCAGTGATTAGGTGTTTTTTGTGGCAATACGTCTATGTATTTATGAAAAACATTTTAATCACTTGAACTTCAAATTACATTTTCATAATTTAATAATTAAACCATGATTATTAGCGCAGTTGCGTAGAATTACTTTTTAAATTGTGTGGGGAAGCCTTACGTAGACATTTAAATCCTCGAAGATACATGGCCGAATTATAGCAGAAAAGACTTACTGTCATTTTCTCAACTCTAGCTAATAAGGTGTTTAATTTCCCAACAGGAACATCACACATTCCTAAATTCTATATATACACGAGGTATTTTTACTTTATATACTCTCCAATTGGTGAACCTGGACTTCTTATGCACGAAACTTTTCGATTAGATCAACTTAATAAGCCTCATCCCATGATTACACGTGACTTAAAAAAAGAACTTTACCACAACTCAAAGTTGTCGATGTATTCCGGAAAAGTCACTGTCTTTTATTTGGAAAATCTGGGAAAGTTACTGGCCTTACTGGTTAGATGTGACTTGAAGATAACCAACTAGACCACAACTCATTGCTACTGTATTCTTGTATATTGCTACTGTATTCGTTTCTGGCTTTCACTGGAAAGCTTTCTGAACTCTTCAGAAAGATTCCAAGTTAATTCCAAGAAGATAGCTAAAAGATAGATGTTAGTGGGAAAGTTTCTAAATTCTTAAAAAATTGTTCTCTTATTTACCAGAAATTTTACTGGTTTAAATTGAACACATTCGAAGCCCGTTATTTTCCAAGCACATTTCTGAATCCTTTTTACAGTGTATGTTACACAAAACATTATAAAAAAAATTATTTAATATGTAAAAATCAATTAATGAGTAAACAATTTCTTACTTAGAAAATAGGTTTTAGCAACAAAAAAAATAGTTTTTTTTTTTTTTTTTTTTTTTTTTTTTTTACTATTCTCTTTTGATCCAAATTCGCTGATTCGAGAAATGTTCTCTCATTCTTGATTTAAACACACTGCTGAATATTGTGCTCTTTTTCTGGAACATGCTGTGGAGCAAAATATACCGTAATTTTACAGTAATAATTAAAATCACTGAATGATTCGAATTAAAAAAATATTACTGTAATTTTTACCGATAATGCACCCCAAGTGTCGATACTTAATACCGTAAATTGATATTTTTTTTACACTAAAGTTGTTATAACATACTATCCGTTTCTGAAACCTCTAAGAAAATTGAAAGTGCTCATGTATTGTAATTTGGTGGTAGAAAAATTAATATATTTAATCGTTTCCTATGATAAAGGCTAAAATCGTTTTAGAGGATTTGAAAATATGTAACAGAATTAATGCAATGTGAAAATTAAAATAAAGATTGTAAACGTGACGTTTGCTTTATTATTGGAGAATCATACTTTGATATAAGACGCATAACACGAGTTTATTAAAGATAGAAGAAAATAAGTTTGACATAAGAGAGAAGAAAATAAGTTTTTTCCTATTTCCTTTTAAAAATTTAAATGGTAACTCAATCATAATGTAATAAGTTAAAATACCTGAAAACATGATTTTGGGCAAAATTTTCGAAATTGCGATTATTATTAATTCGGAATTAATGTACACTCAGCTTTCTAAAAAAACTTTACTTTTGTTTGTGCTCTAATTATTTACAAAGTTATAGCCGTTTTTGCGTAAGGTAATAATAGTGGATAGACTAATAAGTTAAAGACTTTAAAGGCGCGCATCTCAAAATCAGTTTTTTTTTTCACATTTCACACTCCCTTAAACGTGACATCTTATATTGTTTTCGAAACTAGTCGGATATCTAAATATTTAAATAAATCTCTGTAATGGTTAGGATTTGTTTTACGTGTTGTTGGTGCTAGGATAGAGTTTTGCGATATTCTAAATGCAATATGATTTTTTATTTAATTATAATTTTAGCGATTGATACTTTTTTATACCTCCCTGCGTTTTCTAAATAAAATACAAGGAATTATTTCATCATAAGTGTCTTCTGTATTATTTATTAAATTTTGCATCTTTTATAGCTTTTCAATAGTCATTAAGGAGAGGTTTTTGTATCTTCGGATTAAAATCTTATAAAAGCATACACTTTTATGTATATGAATATTTAATAACTGTTAATGAAAAAAATAGCAAAAGGAAAAAGTAACAATAGCAATAGAGGAAAAAATTACAAGAGAATATCTTAAAACCTTTTAATTACGTATGGCATAAGAATTAAAATTAATCCAAAATAAATGTTTTCAAACGCAGCATAATTATTTCCAACAATTCATTTTATAAAAACAGATTAACATTTTACTTTATATCATGTAATTTTTCTACATTGTATAGACGTTTTTAAGCCTTAATCGAGCAATCTATCGCGCTTTCCTTTAAGATATATCTATTTGTTTTTCGTTACGGCCACAAGCTTCTGTTAAATATAAATTGATTTAAGTAAAAAAAAATGCTAAATTGATTGCATTTGACCTGGAATTTTAAATGATAACCTTAAAATTATACAAGTTTCAATAAATTCTAGAAATTTCAAACTTACTATCATTAAATCAAAATAATAAATAAGTATGTCAACTGTCAGGGTCACGTGATGTAATAACACGCATTTTCTGATGTTGCGAGCTAAAAGCTTGATATTATAGATATGATAATTTTTTTTTTTGTTTTGGTTTTTAAAACGATGGATGAAGAAGAATAATAAAATGGTGAATTAGTTTTTGTAGAATTTTGCGTTATTTCTTTTGTAAAAGGTTACGACTGACAAATGTGCGGGGAAACCCCAATGGATTTCGAAATAAAAGATTGGTAGTTGTTTGTTCTATGAATTTCAAGTTGTTTGATGGAAGATAGTGAGTTATTTAGATTGTCTTGAAATTGGTTTAGGAAGTGGCATTTTTTTTTGTAAGAAGGTGCAGTTTAGAAAGTAGTAGGTGAAAAATGGCATTTTTAGGAAGAGCTTTAAAAGTAGATTTGAAGTGTTTGGCGGAAGAGTTAGGAGAAACGGCAACGGAAGACATGAGAGTTACCGAATTAAAGAAGATTATATTGGCAAGTACGGAGTACGAAGAGGAGTTTGTGAAGGAATTATTAAAAAGAATAGTTAGTGGAAGAGAAGAAATAAAGCGCCAACAAAAAGAAGATGAAATTAGGCGACAAGAATATGAAATTAAGCAACAGGAAAGGGAAGACGAATTAAAGCGGCGAGAACAGGAAAGGGAAGATGAATTAAAGNTGGAAAATCGTATTGAAATCTTACAAAGTACAAACATATTTATTAAATTCTGGCAAGAACATTCTAGTTCTGTAATAAAATAACAGATAATCTCTAAACACTTAACAATAATTTGACCTGCACTGTACTTTAACATACAAGAGAACAAGAACATATTAGAAACAAGAACACATTAGAGAACAAGAACATTAAAATAGGCGTGTGTTACTATGTTTTTTACATTTAATATTGCACTATTTTCTTTCAAACCGGTTCAAGAAAATTATTTTTTTACGTGTTTTATCTAAAAGTTGTTTTTTTAAAGTTAGATAAATTAGCATAACTTTTATCAAAGTATTATGCCTGCAAATCCATCTCATTGCCCGAAATATCTTTAATGGATGAGGAAACGAGACTATGTATCTTATAAATATCCTAGTTTCTGAACAGATATTGTGCTCAAAGACCACATAAATAAATTAAATGTCAACATCAAAATTAGATGGATATAAAAGTTTTCTAGTCATGTCTGGCAAAAAAGAAAGAAAATGAATGGGAGTAAAAGAAAAATATTCCAACTCTCGCCGAAAGGTGGCGAAGAGCAACACCCTACTATATTCACAAAGTTATATTTTTTCCACCTCTCCTTCAATGTCTGTTGGTGGACCACTTTTTCGATTTGATCTTAGTGCATAATATGCATAATCGCATTAGTTCCGCAAAATATGTACTCTTCCCTTGATGCTGTAAGATTATATTATGGACTTAATTAGTCTTATCGCTTCCTTATGTGTTGGTTATCTGTTTTCTATTTTATCGTAATCCTGTCTTGCAGGTGAGTTTTTTTTTTCCTTTTGTTTTATACCAGTGATGTTTTGTGTAATTTTTGCCTCTCATTAATCCAAGCAAAAGCGACATTTTTAAATCGTTATATTAGTAGGTATACTATTACATTAGAAGGTAAAACTAAATTTTTTCAAGCTTATTACTTCACTGTATTCGCAAAGTAATTTTTTCAAAACTCTCTTATATTCTTTTTGGAGTATGATTTTTTTGATTATATCTTAGTGCATAATATGTTTAATTATATTAGTTCCACAAAAGATGTACTTTCCGAGTTTTTGTTTCCTTTTGTTTAATACCTGCGATATTTTAATATAATTTTTGTCTCTTAATTATCCAAATAGAAGCGTAATCTTCAAACAGAGGTGAGGTGTATTGATACATTAAAAGATAAAATTAAAATTTTACAAGATTATTACTATCTGTATTCACTAAGTAATTTTTTCAAACCTCTCTTATATTCTTTTTGGTGTATCATTTTCTTGATTTGATCTTAGTCCATAATGTGCATAATCTTATTAGTTTCCGCAAATTATTCTTTCCCTGATGTTTTAAGATTATTAATTAGTTTCATTTCTTCCTTATACGTTGGTTATGGGTTTTCTATTTAATCGTAGTCCTGTCCTGCTAGCAAGAGTGTGTTTTTTCCTTCTTTTGTTTAATAACAGCAAGGTTTTAGTGCAATTTTAATCTCTTATTTCTCCAAGAATACGCGTAATTTTTAAATAGAGGTATATTAATATATTTAAAAGGTGAAATTCAAGTTTTTTAATCTTATTAATTGGCCATATTGGCAAAATAATTTTTCTTTAATTAATTTTTATAATCTATTACTTTACTGCTATCATTACTTTTTTACTTTCATCAATTCATTACTTAAAAAAATTTATTACTTTTCGATTTTGTCCTTAAATGACATTAGGGGCTTAATTATTCTTACCGCTTACTTTATATGTTAGTTATTTGTTTTATTTTTATCTGAATTCTGCCATGCAGATAAATTTCTTTCCCACCGTTAAATAAAGACGAAATTTTAATCAAAATTTGAGTTCTTTTTTATTTAAGCATAAGTATAATATATTTAAACACAGATTTGTAAATGCATTAAACGATAAAATTCACGTTTTTCAAACTTAAAACGTAGCTTTATATGCGAAATATTCCCTCCCTCTCCTCCAATATCAGTTAGTTTTGATTTATTCTTCTTCTATTATATCCTCAAAAAGATTCACGTTTGTTTTAGAATTTTTCTATGATATTATGGATTTAATAATCTTATTGCTATAATTTGAAGAAAGAATTTATTATTTGACTATATTATTTTTTTATTATTTATTATTGTTATTTTTAGAAAGCATTTTGGGGAAAATTGCAAATTCCTTTTAAAACATGTCTAAACTCGTTTCTAATAAAAATTAAAAAGTTGAGTGAAAAAACACCACAGTGAATAAAAAAAGAATAACTTTTTTCTATTTCTTAATTACAGGTTAAACTCTACGGGAATTCGTAAAAATTATTTAGTATCATTGTTGAAAATTCTACTAAAATTTAAACTCAAAGTTTTCATATGTTATTTCTAAGGACCTTATGCTTGCAAAATTTGCTCCTAGCACACGGTAAAAAAATTTATGGTAAAAAACATAATAACTCTGCAACTTTCCTACAGAAAATTTCTGTTCTTGAAAACTACAGAAATTTACTGTTAAACTAATACATCTGTCAAAAGACAAATTTTTCTGTTAACAAATAAAATCTGTTGCCATTGATACTTATTGTATCTGCTAGGTACCGTTTTTTTTTCAGTTTTGATTATGAAATTTTTTATCAAAGCGGCAACAAATAATTTTATGTAATGAAACAGATTTCATTCCTTATGACACTTATATACGTCTAAACTTTACGATGAAAAAAAAAATTTCGACGATTCTTTCACATTTATATATAGAATTTTTTTTACAGTGTATGTTATATTAGACTGAATGTTTGAAATAATAATCTCTGAGGCTTCGTTGAGGTCGTAGTTCTTATGCATAATTTTTAAGGATTTTATGTTCGCAAATTAAGCTACATTTATGTCATATGAAACTGAGTGTTTGTTATAATAATAAATCTTAGTGACTGTGTTGATGTCAGAAACAAATTTGGAATTAAGAAGTTAATGCTGCAGACTCATTCTTTAAGTTCTACTACCGGGAGAAAAGGTAAAATTATGTTTTTAAACTTATTCACTTAAGAAAAGATCGATGTAATATTTTTTCCCCTTTTCCTTTAATTACTCTTGGTAGAGCACTTTTTTTATTTAATCTTTACAGTATGATTTGCATATTATCATTAGTTCGAGTCCTGGTAGCTCAGGGGGTAGAGCGTTCGCCTCCCAATGAGGTGAACCGGATTTGAATTGCAGCGATGGCTGGTAGATACGAATTCCGCACCCTGCTCGCTTCGACTGCAGTGCTGATGCAAAACATGCTCAGTGGCAGACGGGTCATGTGTTAGAATCCCCTTGCCATCAGGCTAATCATGGGATGCTTTCCTGGTTTTCCACTCCATGTAACGCAAATGCGGATTAGTTCCATCAAAAAGTCCATCATGAGTTGCCCACCAATGCTTGATCCAGGAGCTCCCTTGTTTTTTGGATTGGATTCAAAATAACTAGACTGCGGTAGTTTAACATTAGTAGTCGTAAACCCAAAAATTGGGTCGGCTGTTTAACGATTGCTATAAAATAAAATAAAATATCATTAGTTCCCCAAAATATATGCTTTTTATATCCAAGTTTTAACGCTTCTTCATACTTTGGTTATAAGTTTTCTATTTTATCGCCTTTTTTCCCTGCAGGTCAGTTCTTTTCTTTTAGCTGTAAATGTAATGCAAGCTTTTGAACCTATATAAGATTTAAATATGTATAAATTCGAATTATAATTGATAAAAAATCAGGTTTTTAAGATTTGTTTACATATGATAAGGTATAAAGTCATGCAAAAGATTTTTTTTCTTTCTTTTCTACAATGTTTGTGAGTTACGTCTTTGATTTGATCTTACTGCATAATATTCATAATTGCAATGAATCTGTTAAAGTTCACCAAATCTTTTCAGATTATAGAAAAGATTTAAACAATCTTTCTTTTACGTCAGTTATCTGTTTTCTAGCTTATGGCGATTCTATCTTACTATTAAATTTCTTTTCTTTGCTTAATACCTAATATATTTTAAAACAATTTTCAGCTTTTCTTTTTTACAGCTTTATTAATTATTTATAAAACAGTAAACTTAAGCAGTTTCTTTAGACACTCATAAAGATTTTTCTAATTTGGGAAAAAAATCACACAAAGCTAATGGTATAATATATATATTTTTTTGACATTTCCTATTTAAATATTACAAATTTCTAAAAAATTTTATACAGTTAAATCTGTACACATGGGTGCCACTCTTCAGTCCTGAGAAAAGAGCAGTGGTGATTTTCTGATTCCATTAAATATTTATTTTCAATTTGTTTTTCAAATTAAGTTTTCATTTACAAATTTCTCTTCCTTTAAAAATGTAATAATTATTTTATGTCAAAATAAATGAAGAAATTATTACTAGTTATGAAAAAATTGTTTCTCATAATTATTGCAAAATTCTCATAATTATTGCTTGTTTCTCATAATTATTGATTAACCTTCAACATCTGCTTGAATTTGTATTCCCCCCCCCCAACATTTTGAGTTAGTGGACAAAATTAAATTAAGATTATATTTTACAATAACAAATTTACAGATCTACGACAAAGTATTAATGATGATGAAGTGGGAAATAAATAGAAATATGCATGGTACCAAGAAAAAAATTGGTAGCGATTGGTGTAAAAAAATAAAGAAAGCTTTTTTTTGGCTGTAAAAATAATAAAATCAAGAAAAATAAGGTTTTTTTTTAGAAAAAATAATCTAACTTTGCTGTAATATGTGGGCCACTCTCATGTAAAAGTGAGCTATACATTTCTAAAATGCTCTTCAAAATAGTGCTACACCATGTTAATTGGTCAAAAAAAAAAAAAAAAAAAAANATAGCTTTAACATAATAGTAACAGCAGTTACTTAGCTGTTTTAAATTAACAGTTATCTAAACTAACTAAATTTTTTGTCTTTAGCATTAGTTTAAAGATATTGATGAATTTCGGAAATTTTAAGCATTTAAATCGTTTGGTCAAATATTCAGACTCTTTCATTAAAATTTTCCAAAAGGTGTGCTAAAAGCACGAGGCATTTATGTGACTCAGGGTCTTTCATTAAAATAATGAGTCAAATGTTAAAATTTAATTAAATATGTTTGCAGCCTATATTAATTTTCATTCCATTCTATGAAATTAAAAAAAATAGTTAAGTATTATTTTATTTCGAATGAGTTTCATCTTTAAGACTGTTTGTTTTCTGTGTACTTTAAGCAAATTTCATATTCAAATAAAATGTATTTTGAAAATATTCCAATTTTTTCCATAATTTATGTCACTGTAAGAAAATTCCGTGCCATCACGCATAGCTTCAAATCAAAGCTTCAGGTTTTTACAAGTTTTTATCAAATTTCAAGAATATAACAAGTTTTTTGCGAAAAATTTCCCGAATTCAGGGATTGGGTGTTTTTTGTGGCATTACGTCTGCGTATTTATGATAAACATTTTAATTACTTGAACATCAAATTACAAATTCATAAATTAATAATTCAACCATGAATATTAGCGCAGTTGCGTATAATTACTTTTTAAACTGAGTGGGGAAGCCTTACGTAGACATTTAAATCCTTGAAGCTACATGGCCGAATTATTAGGTGAAAAGACTTAAGCGTCATTTTCTCACCTCTAGCTAATTAGGTGTTTAATTTCCCAACAGGAACATCACACATTCCTAAATTTTTTATATAAATGAGGCGTTTTTACTTTATATACACTCCAATTGGTGAACCTGGATCTATACACGAAACTTTTAGACTAGATCAACTTAATAAGCCACATCC